GTGTAAAATTTATTAACTATAAAACAAACAATTTCATGGTAATGTATTATTTAAATTATGCATCTAACAATGGATATTGAGTCATATTTTAATTACTTATGTAGGTTATATAATATAAATCATTTTATAATTTAAATCTATTAAACATTATAAATCATTAGAAAGGGAGACGATCTTTCAAACCGCGTACCGGAGCTTATGTTTAATGAGCAAATTGTCTCACCAACACGTGGTGCCTATCATTAAAACATTGTGCACAAATTAGCCTGATACGGTTTATATCCAGATGCAATTTTGCGCCTGTAATTTACGTGAATTAATAAATATAAAAAACAATTTGTTTGGCCGACCCGATCATTGTGAGTGGAAAAAGTACTACCCTTATACGGAGCCCAATGACCTGGAATATTTTATTAGCCTTTGTTGGCTGCGTGAAATCACCCTGGGCCTACAGTATCTACACTCAAAATCAATAATTCACCGAGACGTAAAGCCCGAAAATATTATGATGGGCACTGTTGGTGGTGTAGGTGAGACACGATGGGTGTTGAAGTTGGGTGATTTTGGTTTGGCAAATTTGTACCAATGGTCCCGAAATAATAGGGCCGATGTGGCAACACGTAAGTATATGGCACCCGAAATGACCATGCCTAGGTATACATTCAAAGCTGATATGTACAGCGTGGGAATTGTGATACCTGAGTTATTTAACTACCGCTCGTAAGTCTCTCTCTCTCTCTCTCTCTCTCTCTCTCTCTCGATATAATCTAATACATGGCATACATAGGATGACCAAATGTGAGGAACACAATAACGAGCGAATGGTATTCCTTCAAAATACTAATGAAGATTTAATTGAGACAATTGCCAAATACAGACCAGACACCGATGGTCTACTGACACGGATTAATACCATGTCGACCACCATGGTCAATAATCAAATTGTGATTAAAGAATACGCCGCTAATAGTGATGGGTATTTAAACCCCAAGAATTTACATCTATATAATTATGTTCAAACGAGAATAAATGAACTCGTTGAAAATTTATAAAAATTATATTATTTACATGAGTTCATAATATTTATTAATTATTGTGCTTAAAATGTATTAGATAATCAATAACAGTTAATTAATTGATATCATGGTGAGAAGACTTCATGCATGAGTGGCCCAAAGTGTTGTTTAATATATTTATATTCCGTGTCGTAAAATTGGTACTGAATGTCAGTTAAAATATTTAAACTAAATAAAGTATACATTATTTGCTGTAACTTTAATTGTGATTCTGATTCCGAGCGGTATTTCAATAGTAGATATCTTTGCAGTAAATATATATACAGTTGTTGTTCGAGTCTAACAAACAATTTAGTAAAAAATACAATAATTTATAATTAATTGATATTTAAAATATAGTCACTAAATATGGTAAATATAAATTATTTATTATCAGTACTTAACACTTCCTCCATGAACAAAATGTGGTCGATTTGTGCTAAACAATGTGATCGCCATAATCTGTAGATAAATTAATTGTTTGGTTATTTAAGGTTAATTATTATCATGTAGTTTACGCTGGGTAAAATATCAATCTCACCAAGTATGTAACAATGCTATCGCTGTAATCCCAATGCAATAAAAACTTATCGTAATATTCTCTCAGTTTAACATTAAATCTAGATGACTCAATCATGTTCAGATTTACTTGGATGGAATGGTTATTTATCTGAAATATAACATGATCATATTAGAATCAAAAATTATTAAATTATCATTAATTATACAAAACAAACTATAAATTACAAAATACTAACTAAAGGTGTTATAAAACTATTGGTCTCTCTATCGAAGTACTGTAGAGTACAGACGGCTATGAGATCTCTGGTGTTGTACTTAATTAACGCCAACCTATCGTCGGCACAGATATTGTCAAAACCCGTCAAACATTTTGTGAAACCAATTATATTTGTAATCATTGTTTCATTCATTAATGAAAAATGTTTCATCACTTCCTCCAAGTCATCCATTTTATACGTTAAGCCGTTTATATTCAACGGATAGTTGAATACAACCGATGCCCTCATCAGCTCTGATATCCGATAGGTTTCCAATTGCTTGAATCCGTTATAATCTCTTAATCCACTGCTTATGGGAATAATTGGTAATTCTTGGGATGAATTTTGTTCATAACTTTCATTTATATGATTGCATTTTAAGCCAATCTCAGTATTATTTTCATTAATAGTTGAAGTGATTTCTGGATTAGACTCAAAATAATTGTAATTTTGTTTTAATTTCATTTGTCTTTCAATTTTGATTTGTTTTCTCCTTTCCTTTTCCTCTGTATTTAGTATTAATTCCTATAAATAGTTATAATAATTAAAAACAAAACAATTAATTCACACAATATTTAATACCTTTTTCATTCCCACAGCAAAACACTTATTAAGTCTGCATTTATTACACATTTTTCTCGTTAATGTATTTATAATGCATTTTCCATTTGAAGGACAATTCAATGGCTATTAATAATGCAATTTTTAATTTAATTAAATCATTATTTTAATAATTATTAATTATTTACATATTGTAAATATAATTACTTTATTTTTGAGGGCATTTTTCCTGAAGAATCCTTTACACGGTTCACAAGTAATGGCACCGAAATTACGGGCTATTGAATTAAACAATTTAAAATGTACTAGATAGTTTAAAAATTAATACTATTTTTACTTTGCAATTAATTATATATGCATTTATAAATATTTAAATTCAAAATAATAAACATTGTAACAAACCTTTTGCTTTATCGCCACAAATTTCACACATTATGCATATTTTCTTAGCACTCATATTGTTTTGGGTTTTATTAACTTGCTATTTCAAGTATTGATATTAGAAATAGTAACCTTGTTCAGATACACAGCATAATAAAAATAACAACAATATATAAACTGTGTTAAATCACTTTTTAATGGATGTCTATTGAATGCGATAATAACATCAAAGCACTCAATCAATTGATATGACATTGAATTTATTTATATTAAATTAAATGTTATTTATCTATTATAGTGAAAATAATTTATACATTCTGTAAGTTAAATATACTATCTTAAATATTTAAACAAAAGTTTAACTTGATCAAAATGATGTTACAATTTAAATATAAATAATTTTATAATTTTATATTAAATTTATTTATTTATAAACATTATGGTGAAAATACTTCTTGCATAAGAGGTCCGAAGTATTTTCTATAAGGATTATTTTTAACATTGAAAAAATCATATCTACTATTGTTTAAAACTTTTAAATCAAATAAAGTGTTCATTAATTTTTGCATTTTTATTTCCGATTCCGAGCGGTATTTCAATAGTAGATATCTTTGCAGTAAATATATATACAGTTGTTGTTCGAGTCTAACAAATAATAAAACAAAATTATCAAGTTTAATTAAATTTAGTTTAATTATACAATTAAACGTTTCATTACTTCACAGCATTTCTATGCATTAAATTTGGTTGATTTGGGTTAAACAGTATGATTGCCCTTAACTATAATAAATAATAAATTTTAATAAATATCATTATTAATGCAGAATGATAAAATAATATCATATGATATAATAATACCAAGTTCATAATAATATGATTGTTGTAATCCCATTGCAATAGGAATTTATCAAAATATTCTCTCAATATTAGAACAGAATTTGAGGATTCAATAAGAATAACATCGAGCTGAAGAGCATGATTATTACCCTGGTGATAAACTAGAAATATTAAAAATAAATTTACTAAATAACGAGATTTATAACTACTTACTATTGGTGTTATAAAACTTCCCGTTTTTCTATCATAATGTCTTAGAGTACAGATAGAGATGAGATCTCTTGTGTTATATTTAATTAAGGCTAAGCTATCGTCGGCACACATATTGTTGAAACCCATCAAACCTTTTGTGAAACTTATTATATTTGTTATGAGATTTTCATCCAAATATGAAAAATCTCTCATTAATTGCTCCAAATTCTTGATTTTATACGTAAAGTCTTTATTAATCAACGGATAGTTAAATACAATCGATGCCCTCATCAGCTCTGATATCCGAATGATTTCCAATTGCTTTAATCCGTTATAATCTGTTAATTCATTGCTTATGGAAATTATAGACAATTCTTGTGATATATTCTGTTCATAACTTTTGTTTGTATTGCTATAATCAATAAGTTGTTTTTCACTGGTTTTATCGTTAATGTATTTCTTTAGTATTAATTCCTATAAATGTTAATTACATTGAAATTAATTAATTAATTCAGTAAAAATTAATACCTTTTTCATTCCCACAGCAAAACACTTATTAAGTCTACACTTTCGGCACAATTGTCTCATTAATGGATTTATAATGCATTTGCCATTTGATGGACAATACATAAGCTATTGATATAAATTGTTAATTTATTATTTTTAATTATATTCAATACCTTATTCTTGAGGCCATTTCTCCTGAAAAATACTTTACATCGTTCACAAGTAATGGCACCAAAGTTGCGGCCTATTGTGTCAATAAATTATTATACATGTAATGTAAGTTTGGTTATACTTATTATTCTTATACCTATCATAAATGTATTATTCATTTGATTTAATTAATTAAATACAATTACAAAACAATATAAATACCGTTTCCATTATCCCCACAAATCTCGCATATTTTACACAAATTTTTATCACTCATACTGTTTGGGAAGTTATAAATTAATTTACAAATTCAAGCCTTATTTCTAGATGTTTCACCGAGGTAACAATAATTTTGCACAAATGTGTTTAAATAATATTTGTTTGCAATCGTCAATGAATGCGATAATCACTTATAAAAATGATATAAAATGATATGTCATTGAATTTATTGACATTAACCAAGAATTCGCACACAAATAGTATATACAGTAAATATTTAATAAATTCAAATTTGATTAAAACATTTAATGTATTTTTTTTAACTTCTGAATAATAATAAATACAATTTTTTATATTTTATAAGAATTTTATTTGATATTAATTTATTTAAGTTTATGTTTTGCAACTTATAATATTGCATACAATATTACATAATAATTAATAATTATATCAGGTATAAAATGTAAATAAAAGCAAGTTTATAATAGTGTTGTGTACATTATGGTGAAAATACTTCTTGTAAAAGAGGTCCGAAGTATTTTTTATATGGTTTATATTTAATATCGAAAGAATTGTATTGAAGTTTATTTAAAAAATTTAAATCAATTAAAGTATTCATTAAATTTTGTAGTTTTATTCCTGATTCCGAGCGGTATTTCAATAGTAGATATCTTTGCAGTAAATATATATACAGTTGTTGTTCGAGTCTAACAAACAATTCAATATAAAATAATCACAAGTAATTTAAAGGACAAAATATATTCTTACCTCACAGAATTTCTATGCATCAAATTTGGTTGATTTGGGTTAAACAGTATAATTGCCCTCAACTACATAATAATTATAAATATATCTTAATGAGTTTAAAATAAGAAATAGCATTAGTTATATAAATCCCACCAAGTTTATAATGATAGCATCTTTGTAATCCCATTCAGATAGGAATTTATCAAAATAATCTCTCAAAAATATAAGTTTGAGCGTTTTGGTTGCGTCAATGAGGCTTACACTGACCTGCAATGAATATCCATTTCCCTTGTGGTAATTTGAATATACACAATTAATACTATCTCATTTAATAATAAATATTACAATTAACACTCACTATAGGTGTCACAAAACACTCGGTCTCTTTATCATAATGTTTTAGAGTGCAGATAGAGATGATGTCTTTGGTGTTGTACTTAACTAACGCTAACCTATCGTCGGCACACATATTGTTGAAACCCATCAAACCTTTTGTGAAACTAATTATATCTGTTATGAGTTTTTCATTCATATACGAAAAATTTCCAATCAATTCCTCCAAATTCTCTATTTTATACGTTAAGCCGTTATTAATCAACGGATAGTTGAATACATCCGAAGCCCTCATTAACTCTAATATCCGATTGATTTCCAATTGCTTTAATCCGTTATAATCTGTTAATCCACTGCTTATGGGAATAATTAGCAAATCTTGTGAAATATATTGTTCATAACATTGGACGTCATTTGTATTTTGTATCATTTGATTAGTTGTATTATTAATAACTGTTTGCATAATTTGTTCGCCAGAATTATTATAAACTAAATTCTTAAAGGGATTGCAATTTAAGTCAATCTCAACATTGTTTTGAGGTTTAAGTTTGAGGTTTGCGTTGCTTTCCATTTGCTTAAATTTATTTTCAATTATTAATTGCCTTCTCATCTCATTTTGCTCACTATTTCGGATTAATTCCTATTAATATTAATATAAATAATTAATAAATTTATTAAAAATTAATACCTTTTTCATTCCCAAAGCAAAACACTTGTCGAGTCTACACTTTTTGCACATCTGTCTCGTCAATGGATTTATAATGCATTTGCCATTTAATGGACAATTCATTGGCTATTAATACACATTATTAATGCGCTATTAATTATATAATTAATTTTGTAATAAATATAATCAATACCTGATCTTTGAGGCCATTTCTCCTAAAGAATGTTTTGCATGGCTTACAAGTAATGGCACCGAAGTTACGGCCTATTATTTAAATGAATTGTTATATTATTTAATTGGTATTTAATTACATTATAATTTAATAATAATTTATAAACCAAGATTATATACCTTTCCCAATATCGCCACAAATAGCACACATTTTAATTATTTTGTGTTCGCTCATAATGTAATATGTTTTTAGTACTTTTACTAATAATTTTATTTTATTTGCGTAAATATTTTTAACACATAATAATAACAACATTAAAAATATTTAATTGATAGCCTCTTAAATGCGATAATAACTTAACAATATTTTATAAAATGATATTAATATGACATTGAATTCATTTAATAAATAAATTTATTTTTATCAACATTTTTATGTTATTTAACAAATGAAATCATAATAAATAACATTATATTTAATAAAATATATTAATAAATTACAAAGGTGAAGTAATATTAGCAAATTTTTTTATTTTATTGCCTAAATAAATATCAGGTTTTGAAATTTCCTTGTAATTTAAATTATAATTTAACATGTACAATTTGAAAAATAAACACAATGATTTAAGTGGTATAATCAAACATTATTATGAATATAGTTCGTCCATAAGTGGTCCAGGGTATTTGTAATTCATTTTTAATTCATTATAAAGTTTACCCTGAATATTATTTAAAGTATTCATATCATTTAATGACTCCATTAGTGTTTGAAGTCTTGTCTGTGACTCTGATTCCGAGCGGTATTTCAATAGTAGATATCTTTGCAGTAAATATATATACAGTTGTTGTTCGAGTCTAACAAACAATTTAATAATTCAATTATTAATTAATAATTAATGTTTATATTTTTGTCAATACCTGACAGTAGTTTTATGCAATAAATCTGGTTGATTTGGGTTAAATAACAAAATTGCAGTCAGCTGAATTTACAAATACACAATTGATTATTATTATGATAATAAGTTGAAATAAATTATATTACCAGGTCAATAATAATGTGATCATCGTAATTCCAGATAGATATGAACTTTTCATAATATGATTTTAAAATAGGTGCTAATCCCATTGGTTCATAAATGTCTAAGCCTAGGTGGAATGTTTGATCCGGACCCTAAACAATACATCTATTTATTATTAATGTTAACAAATTAAATGTTACATGAACAAAAATTACCTTTTGTATTCTAAAACCTGTAATCTCTTTGTTATAATACTTAAGACTCCGGATTAGCATTAGATCTTTGCCCCCGTGTTTCATAAGCGCATACTTATCGTCGGCACAGATATTGTTGAATCCGTTCAGACTTTTTGTGAATTGAATTATTTGTCGAATAAATTGTTCGTTCATTTCTGTACATTCAGTGATCATTTCATTGTAATCCTTAATCCTATGTATAATTGCATTGCTATTCAATGATTGAATTGTGATTTTGTTGGAAGCGATCAGTAGTTCTGATACTAGTTTGGACTCCAATTGATTGATACCATTATAATCACTGATTGTCTTAAATACAGGAATTACTGGCAATTCTTGCTGTGGATTATCATTAGCGGGCATTACATCAAAGTTTTCATTTATATTATTTTCAATGCCATCAAAATTAAGCAAATTATTGTTTATTAAATCAAACATTAAATTTTCTTCAATAGTTGTGTCGCTAATAATTGAATTGTTTTGTGAATTATTATTATTTAAGAAATCATTACAATTATTGGATTCATCGCTGAGTTTATGTTTTAATTTATTTTCTTTAATTAATTGTTTTCTGCAATTGTTTTGTTCATCACTTCGTATTAATTCCTGTAATTATAAATCAAAAATTATATTTTAATATTAAAACATATAAATATATAAATTACAAAATACTGTAAATACACAATAAATATACTTTAAATACCGTTTTCATGCCGACAGCGAAACACTTTTCAAGTCTGCATTTATAGCAATACCTTCTCGTCATTACATTGATATCGCATTTGCCATTTGAGGCACAAATCAATGGCTATTAATATAATTATAATTAACAGTAACTTTAATTCAAGTTTAGTACAAAAATATAATGCTAACCTCATTTTTAAGTGCGTGTCGCTTAAAAAATGTTTTACACGACTCGCAATTCATGGCACCATAGTTTCGAGCTATAAATACAATATTAATCGCACTAGATTAAATTAAAATAAAATTTTCAACTAATTCACCTCGTCCTTTGTCACCACAAATATCACATATTTTAACCATTTTCTTATCACTCATAATTCTATATATTTATAACAATTAAGTAATACAGTATATTTAAAAATATCTAGTTGTATTGTAACAACTTTATAAATATTGTAACGGTTTTATTAGCCGATCGGTCTTATCTACTAATTATGGACGCTCATATCTGACCATCGGCCGACTTACCGCTACTATTCCCGCTATATTTGTCTACATTACCCTATAATTCAATATGTGGTTGGCTTTGATTATCGATACTTATCTGGTCATCGATGCGGACCTGTCCACGTTGTCCTCCGAACGGTAGGTGCCTTTTGTCTTATTAATCGTCTTTATTCGGTGAATAATAGTAGGCTATGGGTTGGTAGTATATACTAGTTTATTATGCTTACAACATTTAAATAATACATAGATATAGGGTTTATATAGATGTTAATAGTTATGGGAATAATATAGTTATTAATAGAACCAAGAGTTAAGCCAACGAGCGTCTTCCCAACCCGGCGATCGAGTGCCGGTATGTGGGTTATATAGTGGGCCATACGGGCACCACACATGTGCCGTATGGGTGGAGTGTAAGGGAGTGTATGGGCTGGTTAAAGGCTAAACAATAAGATTTAAACAATCTAATTGGTTAAAGGCCTGTAGGGCAACAGTTACAGGTAACTGGTACAGTAACCCGATACGGTAAAAGTGACTGATTTTGTGAGTGAATCTCAGGAAATGAAAAGAGCATAGCAGTGTAGCTATAAGTGATCATAATGGGTAACAGTTACGTCTATAATGGGTAATAATGAGTCATAAGTAACAAAGAATAATGTAAGTAGAGTAACTTATAAGTGCACTGCAAGTGCATTAGTGAACTATTGGGATACAGTACTAATGGATATAAGGGTACTGTAATGCACTTAAGAGTAAAAGAGAAGAAAGAATGCTGTAATATGAACGGAGTATTGAGTAATCCGTTCCACTCGTCCATCCTGCAAACTAAACCTCCCGGTTTAGAAGAACTGGTGTCAGGGCTCAGAGGTTGGCATTGACTTAACTTTACAGTAACAATAGTTTATAATTTAAATAGAACAGTACATTAGAATCTCATGGTATTAAAAGGTGGATTTATCCACAAAAACTTCCCATGGCATTCTAGATTCTTTTGATCATGCATCTTATAATTACAATTAAAATTTAGAGTTAAATTATTCAAACATATGAGTAGTAATCGATTATATAATGATTATTTCATTACAGAATAGTTGCTGCTAATAATAGTTGCTAATATTTAAAAAGGTTATTTTAAATATAATTTATAAGTCATAAATTTGATTAATTATAAGTTATAATAATAATTAATTTAAATATTGTTATATTAAAATAAAAATTAAGTTTCAATATATGAGATTATACTATAAGTTAATTATATATTAACAGTAATAATTTTAAAATAGTTACAATAATTGATTTCATAAATTTTTTAAACGAGATCGAGCTCAAATCGTTAAGGTGTCTTCTCCACGACAGATAACTGTCTAGGCCTTGTGGTTGGAGACATGTTAACGAGATGTTCTCAAATTATATTGGCCAATAATCTTCTTTCTTCGGGTTTGAACCACGCTGACGTCAACACGACGTTTCTAATTCTGGAATTCGTTATCGATTTTTGTCATTGTTAAGCTACCATCATCGTAAAGTCTTGGTCGCAATTGACAAGTCCCGTCGAACTTATGTGCTCAAGGCTTCACGGTGAGGGTTTCTCGGTCATTTGCTAGCTTTTATAAATCTTTAACTCGGAAATAATGGACATGTCTATTTCATCACCCAATGTTTGTTTCATAGTATGGCTTCATATTTAAATAGAAAAACTTAATTTTCTAACGCTAATTTCTTCATTAATCATTCTATTAATTTTGTTAAAATTGTTTCATCGTAATAGTGATCAAAATTCTATTTCTCTTATCTGGGTGATAGTTGACTACTGTCTTCAACACTTGTTGTTGAGTTAGTTCAGTCAACTGCGTACGCAGCGTCCGTAACCGGGAGCTGGTCCTTCGCCACTGTAGCGTAGGCTGAGCCGATGTCTCCAAACCTATCACTGTTCTGCGCAAGGTTGATTTCCAACTCGGGTCCTAGGCCGCTAATATAGATTCTTCGCATAATTTCGAGAGCAATACTATATCGAATCTACAATATAATATATCCAGTATTTTTCTTGAACAACAAACACTTCAAAACAATATTTATTCCCGCGCTGTTTTAGTCAACTTATTTTGTATTCACTTGTATTGCTCTCACGGAGTTTTAGGTATTTCTCGAATATTGACAACAATGAATTAACTATTTTTCAAATCTTTCAATTTTAACAACTCAAATCATTTGAAATTAATTATTATGTAAAAATGTTTGAGATAATTTATAATCGTAAGTCGTAATTCATAATTGTCAATATTACTTCTAAATTTTAACTTTGATCTTGATAACTACATTCAATGTAAATTTAATTCGCAACCGTAATACATGTGTAGTTATCATTAATTGATACGTGTTATGTCTATTAACTTCTCATATTGCAATAATTAAAATACACGTAATTGTATTAAAAACTTTTTGAAAAATAAATAGTCTTATATCGATATCGTTTCTCAAATTGTCAAAAGTATGACTGAAAATAATTTGTTGCTATATCAATAATTCGATAGCAACTTTATTATATCGACACAATTATTAAGTCATTTATTAAATTGATAGACTTATCGTGTGATGAGATTTTTAACTTTTTCATAATTATTATATCTCAAATTCAAAATTAAACACAACAATATTCTAACGTGTTGGTAAATGTTAAAATGTAAGTGGTAAATGTTTAAATGTTTTTCACTTTTTACTGAAATTTATTTTCTGATTTCATATGGTGCCCATCTTACACCATTCGTTGAATAACGATTTCCTGCACTTAATAAAGTGAAACTTGCTTCTTGATTTACTGTTGTAACGAATAATAAAGCTTTTCCAACGGTTACATCCTTAGTGTGTCGAACGACGTCAACAATAAGATTAGGATGAATGTATTTATTTTGCCAACTCATTATAAGTTTTCGAATAATGGCTGTCACGTCATCATCCCGTTTGGTGTAAAAACCTAAGATGACCAATTGATATGGGTGATACCGATATCGTGATAAAGTATTGTCGCTCTGATGCATATCATTAAGTGTATCGCGGTTAACTACTGAGTTTGGGAAAAATCTTCGCCATCTGATATCATTTGGTTTGTGTAAGTATTTCTTAGCTGAGTTCAACAATAGTTGATTTTCTTCGGAATTTCTCGCAGTAACAATTAAATTGCATTTCCCATCTGATTTGTTTGTACGGTAAACGCGCTCAATTATATTTGGATTAGTTCTAGAATCTTTCCATTCATGTACGATACGTTGCACTATCTTCGTAACGTTTTCAGTGTTTTTTGTGTATAAACCTGTAATAACAGATTTCAGGTTGTCGACATTATTTTCTTTCTTTATAAATGGCTTCATCTCAAATGATCTGTATTTCTTCCCGTTTCTTGATGATATTAGCGTGACATTGTGATCACTTTCCGGTTTGGTATTAAGTGACAGTTCATTGGGTTGATCGTTATGTCGTAAGCTTGTGTAAGATTTTTGTGATGTCGACGGCTTACTTATTAAAGTATTAACTTCACTTTTAGCGCAACTACTGGTTATAATTGTAGCAACTTCTTTTGTTTCGTCACTGTGTGTGTCATCAATCATTTTCTCGAAATAATAAGTCTCGTCAACTAAATCTTTAAAATCGTTGGAATAATTATTTCCATGTATTAGGACAACTTTTATATCTTTGCGTTGAGCTCTTCGTATAGTTGAGGCAAGACAAATATCATTAGTAATTAATGTCATAATAGATTCAGAATTAAATTTATCCATAAACATGTTCATTAGTTCTTGGAGCTTAATCGTACTTTGTTCTTTTATTCCCGACTCCATGTGTACTACAATGACTCCATTTGTATCTAACAATTTACAAATGCGTTGTTTTATGCGCCTGGCATCGCAGACGCAATAGAATTCTCTAATATAGCCACATTCCGGGTGGGTTTGTTGCAGCTGTC